AATTTCATTCTATCATTGATTGTGAACAATTTTTTGCTTTCTTTTTTTTCAATGTTTGATATACGGCATATATATTGGCGGAAATGTTTCACGATGATATCACAGATTACCGTGCATGCGTCATCATTCGTATTGTATTCAATGTTAACCATACGAAATAATAAATTCCACTAAAAGACTTCTCAAATCAAGCTAATTTCGTCATTAGTTAGCTTAACAGATGCAAATTTTTAATTTATTTATGAATTAAACAAAATTTGGGGTAAAATTGTTAGTAGAAATTGTCATTTTATTACTAAGGAGCTCATTTGCAAATTTTATTTTAAAAAAAAAAAATGTTTTCTTCACCACCTTATCTGCTCCTGTGCAAATAGTATAGTAATTGATATTAAAATTGTGCTAAATTTTTCCGATTTTTGTCATCTTTTCGTGTGTAAAAGGAAAGATTAGGATTTAATGATATTGATTTAAAATTTATATTTAAGAAATTGTATAATCTATGAGCGATTCTTGCGAAAATGGAATAAAAATTTAGCAATTACGATAATTAGAAGATCTCTTAAGATTTAAGAGGTTAGAAAGATGTTTAAGTTTATTGCTCTCAATTGTTACAATATTTCTGTTTCATTTCAGTTTTATACTATCATTTTTTCTTTTTTCCCATTTCCCTCTCTCTCTCTCGCCTTTTCTTTTCCTCCTTTCGCGTTTAATGAAGAAGTTCTCCCTTGTAATACTTGCCGCTGTTATAGCGGTTACTTCCAATCTATGCTAACAATTTGATAAACAAATCGATTGCTTCGTTTAACTTCATCATTTGATGTTTACATTGAAATGTTGTTTGTAGTAACCGTTAATTTACTTATATAATATTCTTCTTCTATTTTTATTTATTGATTTTTTGAATGAAATTTAATATTGACAATATATTTAACAATTTGTTATAAGTTCTTTAATGCACTTTTTTTAAATTGTATTTTAACACTTCTTGGCTTTTAATTACTTTGCTTTTTTTTGGTTGAAAATTTGTAATGTTAAATGATAAGCAATTGTTAACACACCTGTTGCTTTTGAAATTATTTCTATTACAATAACGGTTTGAATTCCACTTTAGTGTTAATCCATTTCATTTTATATAATTATTTGATAACATATCGATTTATTGCTTATCAATTAACAATAAGCAGGATTGGAGAATGTATGACGAGAATGAAAGGAATGCCACTTGCATTTAATATCTATAATTGAAAAGTTTCTATCATATTGAGCGGAATGTTTAATAGGACGTATAATTCTTTACTCACGTGAAATTTCCAGTTTCATCGTTACAAATTATATGATTTAAAAGTTGTTAAATTCGATGGATCATTTGGTTAAACATTTTTACATCATATATGTTTGATATATACAAACACTTACAGAATTGTTTTTATTTGTACATATGCTGCTCTCACTATAAAACAGGCTTTACTAAAATATCATCTAATAATTGAGCATTTTTGTGGTATTAAATGCAAATTTAATTCTCGTAAAGATTCATCCTAAAATTCACAAATAATAAATGCTATATGTAACTGATATGATAATCGTTTCGAATCTTTTCCTCTCGAGGATAGGTAAATGTTTATGTTATTTTAATCTCTTCGGTCATTATCTAAACTTTCTACGTGAAACACACGTACCTATGACTTTCTATTTCAGCTAACATATTATATGTTTAAAATTATTTCGGCGTAATGTCACGACTGAAAGTGTTATTCATTTCAGTGATCGTTATTAGTAATACAGCCACTTTTTAACTGAAACGATGAATTTTGGGAAATTTCCTTTTGTTAAAAATTTGCATGTTTTGTAAAATTTTACATCCAAAATATTACTTAAAAATTGGTAAAAATCCACAAAAACTGGTCAACATTTTGAAGTTAGCTCTTTTTTACTTCTCATTTTAATGTTGCTTTTAAAATTTTATATTGGAGATAGCACTGCATCATTCTATAAGGAAATATATGAATGGTTTGATTTTTCATTTTTAATCGATTCATTCTAAGGCAGAAAAAATATGTAATTAATTCAGAACAGGAAAGTAATAACATTATTAATATGTTGTAATGAGTAAGGCATTTTTATAAAACAGATGTAATCCAAAGGTAAGTAAATAATGTTCTATTTGTGACAAAAATACATTCAAACATTCGATTGGTTTCATAGTTTTAGTCAAACAAATATATTTGCATTTCCCTTAGGATTTAAAAGATAATTTTGCAGGAAAAGAAAGAAGCTAATTTAGCATATGCATCATTTCTGCTATTGATAATGACAGATAACACAATTGGAGATGCTATTCTAAGCTAAGATTTATTTGATATACATATTTTGTTATTGGAAATTTCGAAATTCTCCTTCTCACTTTTTCTACTTTTTTTTTCATTCGTATTCAATGAAAAGAATGAGAAAACAATAAAACAACCATTAAAATAAGCAATCTTCAAATCTTCCATATTCATACGTACATATTTGTTTTTAATTATTTTAAAAATTTTGCACACTTTTTTTTTCAATTTTTCAAGCATTATTCTTTAAAATATGAAATCTTTTTTAGAAAACAAAATTTTTTCCATCTTAGTCTTATAAAAACATTCATTTTCTATATATAGTTGGAGAGTTGAATTTGAAAAATGTACCGTACTTAACCCAGCATTTCAACAAATTATTTACCGATGTTTTTAATGTCAGGAGCGGCGAGTTCTTTTTTTTCTAAATAAATAAATTTTGCTATATTTAAACTGGTATTGAATTGTGCTTACAATTCTTTTCTTAATTTTCCCAATATTTTAGACGCTTTTTCAGTTTTTCATTTTTTTTTTTGATATATTGATTGTTTTCAATATTGAGCAGTTTTTCCAAATTTAGAGATTTATATTTTTTAAAGTTTTTTTATTTCTTTTTATTTATGTTTTTTTACAAAGCTTTTTCGATTTAAAGATTAATAAAATTCTTTTTAGGAATTACAACATTTAAGTGTAGTAATAGTTTTGTTTGCTCATCGTGCAAATCTCATCATTTTTTGTGCTGTACAGTTGGATAGACTTACAGAAGTAATTGATTAGCAACTATTAGTATATATGATATTGTACCATATAGTTGATATTGATGAAAAAAAAATGTGTTGTTTGGAAATTTTTCGGACTTATTTTCTTCTCTCATAGAGAGATGAATAATTTAATGAATTAATAAACTTATTTATTCGTTGATTAAATTCCCTCAATAAGAAGGATATTTGAATGATTGAAAAAGGTTCTCATTACTGCTAACAATCCTCATTCCATCTGATATTTCCACTACTGATAATAATCATTATTCCAATAAATCTTGTTCCTTTTCCTCTTCTTCCTTACTTCACCTTAGGCTATATTATATGCAACAAACAAGTTGTAATCAGTCGTATTTGTTTATCATTTTCAGGATTTCTTATCTTTTTCTATATTCATCCTATTATTCCATTCATTTCAATAAATACCAATCATAATTGAAAAGAAAGAAGATATCTGTACAAGATTGCCAAGTATTACTTTATATTAATTTGATATAAGCAGTACTTTAAAGTTATACAAAATGAATGTTAGCTTAATAATTTTTTTTTTGAAAATCTCCATCTTTTTTTTGCTCATTAATTTTATTCATATTAATCGATCATGTAAATCTCTTATACCTTATTAATTAATTTAAATGTAATGAGGATATTATAAATGAAATAAATGCCATATATTTGATTTACTCTTCTCGTTTTTCATACTTACTATATTTACAATATCCATATCTTCGTATCATTATTCATATACTTATATACCTGTATCCATACATATACCTTCAATTTTATCCTTTTTCCTGTTTTGTTTTCAATTAGATTATCAATTTTATACATCAAAGATTACTTCTACTCCGTTTGCTTATATTTGTTTCCTCACTTCCGTCTTTTTGCATTTGTATATTTATGTTTTTACTATTTAATATATGTTATTTTATTTCCTAATTCTTACTTCTTTCACATTTCCTGATCTTTTGTCCTCCTCTAATATCTCTCTTTCTTCATACTTCTTCACTTTGTGCTGTTACAGAAATATCTTGACAAAAACATAAATATTTTTATTTCCGTATTAATTTCCGTTTTTCATATACTTTGTGTACATTTAAATTAAAATTTTACTAATATCATAATAATTATTATGTTACATATGCATCGCAACGATATTTCGAAATTTAACTTTTTTTTTCATTAGAACATATCTGTATAAATTACATATGTAATTTATGTAAATATTCTGCTGTTAAAAACATTTATAGTCTATTCTATTCACCTGTTCTCACCTCTGAAATTTTTTTCTAGAATTTTTCAATTATTAACTTTAAGGAAAAAAATTGTACGAAATTTTAGAAGCGAAATTACCAGTTATTATTTGATTTTTTGGTGAAGTATGCATAATTGATGTTTATTTTATATACAAGTATAGAGTTCCAAATATTAGCAAGAAATATGTTATTGTTCGTTTATTTCATTTTATGAATTTTGGAAATTTTGAAACATTGAGTAATTAATGTCGAAGTTTTTATTTTTTTAGCGACGAAAATAATTTAATTCATTATAATGTTTCTAACAACTTGTGCAGTTCTATTCTGAATTATTCTCATAAAAAAAGGAAGTTGAAAAGACTAGCCGAATGAATGCAAGTGATGTAATTTCACATAATGAAGCAAATGGGCCATCGACGTCAAAACAATCACCGACAGCAGCAGGTAATAATTGATGCTTAATTTTCATTGAACTATTTAAGTTTTTATTTTTATCATTCTCCTTATAAGCTTACTTTTTTTTCTCCGTAATGAATACTGTTGCTTTAGAATATGACAGGTTACAAATTATAAATGTGATGGTAACGATGATATTATGTCTATGATATTATGAATATTAAATACAATTTGAATAATGATGTAGTATCATGAATTATGAATATGATGTGAGTCATGAATATCAGAGGATGGTATGAATTGATAAGTGTTGGTTTATTTTTCAGAAACAATTATGAGGTAGATTATATATTTATAGATGAGGTAGACTATATATTGGGTGAGGATTTTCAACTTGATGCTAAACATTTAAATCGTGTTCATGAAGAATTGGAAAAATTAAATATTGCAACAGATGTAATCAATAAATTGGAATTACAACTTGATGAAGCAAGAGCTACTTTCAGGTATGTTCACATTCATCTGTTTGTGTTACTTTCAAATGTTCACACTTTGCATTTTGTCTCATCATGGTGTCCCATAGGTATTTTGTGAAATTTTGGAAGGGAAAATAAAAGAAATATGAGAACTAGAGTTAAATTTCTCACAATTCTGATTCGATTCGTAATATTCGTGTTAACGCAGTCAAAATTATGTTTCTTTATGGAAGCATTTTAGGATTTTAGGTATTATTTTTGCTTCCAGGAAAATTCAAGCATCCTGGTCTCAAAAATTGGACGAGTTAAGTCGTAAATATGGTTCAGCAATTGCAAAAGGTCGACCTTATTATGAAGCAAAACTTAAGGTAAAGTTAATGAAATTTTTTGTCATTTGTAGCTTTGTTACCGAAATGAAAGATGGTATAGTTTGATCGTATCCGTTCAAAAACATAAGAGGTCGAAAATTGAGTGTAATAATTATTACCAATTTAATAGTGATGTCAGTAATCTTAATTATTGGGTGCATTATAATTTGATAATGCTAGACGTGTTTCAGATAATGTGATGTATATTAAATTTCTTTTGATAAGGATAGTATGTTAAGAGAATCTGAATAGATCAACTAATCATTATTAGTGAAGATTAACAATTTTATTATGTTGCAGTCATTTTCCAGCTGTTTTTTAGAATTTTGAGAAAAAATTAATCTATTTTTATGCCATTCTTATTCATAAAATATATGTGTATTTTTTTTCAAGGAGAGACGGTTACGTGAGGAAGCGCAAAACGCTGCGATACGTTTCGAGCGCGCCAATTCGATGCATGCAGTAGCAAAGCAACAAGTGAAATTAACACAGGACAGTTTAAATCGGCAACGAACTATCGAACCAGAATGCTTAGAGGTTGAAATGTTTTGGCTCGAATCATTCGTACTAATACTTTTGCTGGAAGTACTGCTAATATTATCACATTTATTTTATTTTATTAATGTTCATTTTATTTTAAAATGCATCTTTACACCATAATGTTGCTATCGTTGCTAATTTCATTAAATCACTTTATGACGTGATCTAACCAAAATAATTACTTGTACATACATATCAGTGTTATAGTTAGACGAAGTGAAGCAAGTTAACTGTTTTAAAATTTTTGTTTCCAAGTTATGAATTTATTTGATTCCAAAAAGTGCATGCGACTATAACTATGATTTAAGAACAGAATTAGTAAACTTTTTATTTGATAGGTGTTGAATCATCATATTCAACGTGTAAATGAAGCGGAACAAGAACGTGTAGTAGCTGAAGAGGTACATCGCTCAATTTCTGAGTGCATGGCACAGTTGTCGAAGGAAATTGCACAGATGCTAGAAGGAAACGCTCGGTCTATTAAGAAAAGCCGACATTATTTCGAGCAACGCATCGAATTTACAAGAATTTTGGAGCATCAGAAAAATCTTATTCTGAAACTTGAATCTGAGGTTTATTATAACATTTTTTTTTCGCATTACCATGTATAAAGTATTTTTGAATATTACAGTGAACAAACTTGATTATTTTCAATAATACTGATGGTTTTCAAGGTGCGTCAGAAAAAATACGATTATACATCTTCGTTGAGAAATTTGGAGCAGATATCAGATGCTATACATGAAGAGCGAAGTGTATGATTTTTTAATTTAGGATTATATGCAAGGAATGAATACTGTGGCATTTTAGCTGTATTGTAGTAATACGTTTAACAATGTTTTAAGCGTAAATTTACTTAAGACAATATTTTGGCCATGTTTTATTAGAGGGGTTAGGGGGAGAGTATTTTAGCAATAAAATATTACGATAACTATAGCTACAACTTTGATGGTGATTATTAAATCAAGTAGTTAAGTAATAATCATGGAAATAAAATTTGTAGTCATATTCGTAAGGCTTTTTACCAAACTACATTGACATTCATCTCATAATATTGGTTAAAATATGTCTTGTTCTGTAGTGAAATTTATAGTTGTCAAGTGTAAGACGTGAACCTGGCGTTGGTTGCGAATCACCTGACTTGCCAGCTTGTGAAGTAGCACTTAGTAAAGAGAAAGCACAACGTCGAATTGAAGAGGAGGAAGAAAGAAGACGCAAAGCGGATGTAGCAAATGCTGTTATCCTCGAGGGGATTGAAATAGCTCTTGATCAGGTGCGTTTTTCATCTACTAATTGTTACTATGATCAGAGAAGATCAGAGAAATGCTTTTATGCTTGTTAGAATATAAGATATGGATTAATAACGGCTAACAATCGACTTTTTATTACTTTTCAGCTTACTTTGGATTGCGACAAAGCAATCGACCCTACTTTGTTTGATGATTCACCTGAAGGAGTAGACTCAGGGGCAGTTAAAGATGGAACTCTTGGTTCTGGTGTTATATTACTTGCGCAACAGTTGATTCTTAGCCAGGGTAAATCGAAAAAAAACAATAAAAGCATTAGGTAAATTACATTTCAATAAAACAATATTGTTTTTATCTGTTGTTCAAACACAAATCATTTTAGAAAGACGGGAAAAGATGGAAAAATACAAAAAGTACCAATTTATGTGTATTCCTGTCTTCCTGTCTTTCTGATTGTGGATATTCTTTTGAAAATTGGTGCAGTATACTAGTTTTAGTGATGTTATTAATGATAAATATTTAGGTTGTCAGCAGATTTGACTGATTTTCGATATCGCACCGAATTGCCCGAGGGTGCTGCAGCAGTAACTGTTTCTTTGCCTGATGGTAATGATAGTGATAGCTCATTGGAAAGTAATCATACGGGAGTAACGATGAACACGGATGATTTATCAGGAATGCTTCGAAGCCATTCTCAAATAATTGAAGTAAATTGCATAATATATCATTTTACTGTAGTAAAAAGGGGAAAGCAACAACGTACATAAATGAGAATCGACAAATAAATTACGATTCTACAAATTTAATTTATTTTATTTAAAAGAGAAAAACGAAAGAAGAAAAAAGATTCGTGATTCTAAGTGATTTTGGATTTTTTTTCAATATTTTATAATAGTTCATCTTACATAATACCGGTTTATTGGCAAAATAGGAAGCAATATCGTACTTGTATTTTCATTTATTTATTAAATGAAGTTTTTTTTTTCAGGAAATTGATGAATGTGCTCAACGTACCGAAACCATATTGCATAATAATTTGAACGTTATTCATAGAAATGGAAATGATGATGTAGAGCGTGATAGCGGTCATAGTTCATCGAGTTACTAGTCATTTTATGCATTTCGATATTTCTTCATGATTACCATATACTTCTCTTTTCCAACACTGGAATATTTTGGTAAATGTTATCAACAATTAGTTTATTCCTATATCTTTGAATAATATTTCTCATAATGTGATTTTGTTGAAAGTATTGTGATAAGCTCATTATTAACTAAGTAACTAAGCAAAAAAAAAAATTGAAGGACGATGATTGTATTATCTTTTTGCTTTAGTCAGTAAAGCAAATTGATAATACAACGTTCTTCGATTTTTTTCACTTCTTGCCACGTTTGAATAACCTCTACTCAAATGTTTTTACAATTTGTTATACTATACGGGTAGTTGAAGTTGTTGAGTATTCCATCTACTTAGTTCGTTTACATCTTTATTCTTCCTATCTTTTGTACGATTTGAGGTGTGTTGTAATCTTTGAAAACGTTTTAATTACTAGCGTATTGTTATGCAAATAATTATATCATTCAATTTTATACCTGCAGATATTTAGCTATTAACGTTTTCAGGTTTATATTATTTTCTTGATAAATGATGGATAAAATCAAACAAGTTTGAAATTGGTGATTTTGAAAAATATGGATTATCAATTATCCATCATTCAATCATCAGATTATAAACTTATGCATGTTCCAATGCATTTTATGTTTTTCATTATATTTTTATAAGATCTTTCATATTTGAAAGCGTAATAGTCGTTTGTTTGCTGTGATTATTTCATCTAATTGTTTCTGGAAAATTTTAAACATTTCGAGGAGTTTTTCGATGTTAAGAATGTATACATTATGTTGAAAAATATCGGGAAGTTGATGTACTTAGAAAGACAGATTGCATTCTGTGTTCTCAAGGATGTTTTCATTCTTTTAACGATGGTTGATGT